CAATGATGAGAGAGAATCATTGACTGGCTGCCTCCTGCACGGCCCCCATGGGGATCAAGCCCACAACAAGAAATTGAACTGTGACCACTGAGGCACACCAGCCGGGTCAAGCAGATTTTTAAAAGCCTATATGGTTACTTACCATTCTTGCTGTTCCTATGTAAATAACAAGCCAACTTTATTGAAACTAGATTTATTTCACAAACAAAGTGGTCTTGGCTATATTTGGTAACAATGAGGGTTATTTTAGAGAGCAAAATTGTTTAACACACCTTTCTGGATATTAGATTCCAGTACTGTTCATTCTAATTTTTTATTTTTTTATTTTTATTTTTTTGTCGTTACTGTTAATCCTCACCTGTGCCTTTGACCGCTATCGGACCCTGGACCCTTCAGTCCTCAGGCCAACGCTCTCACCACTGAGTTAAACCGGTTCTTTGGAGGTTTTGTTCATACAGGTAAACTAGACCAGATCTTGAATTCTTCTAGTTTCCTCAAACACCTGGCTATGCGTCTCCAAACTGACACTTCCAGTCTTTCTCGCATCCTTTGATTTGTAATCCTTGAGAACTAAAACTGCCCTTTCCCAAAGTCATACACGCTAAAGGGGACGACTTGACATAAATGTCAGAGAAATCCCAGCAGCTCACCCACAGACAGGCTTTGTGCCTGCAGAAGCAAGGTCCCCAGAGACATTCAAGCTGCAGAGCAGGGCGACTGTCATCCTGCGCCGCTCCCGCCATCGGAAGGCGGCGAGCAGGCATCTAGAAACTTCTGGACTGGCTGCCTCCAGAGCGCAGGGAGGGCTGATGGGCAGCTCCAGTCTTACACACTGTTTTTTGTTTCCGTGGAGGGCGCGTTATTTGCACCACAGGCCTACCAGTCATTTGGGGAGCCACCGCATCACGGCCTCCTAAAATGAGACAACTGCTTCACTGAACTGACCTAGTCCCTGGAACCGGTACATGTTAGTAATATCTCAACTGGTCCTTTCCTAATGCTTCAACCTAAAACTCGGCACAAATACTGAGCTGACTGTAAACTCATAGGCAAGCATGTCTCTAGCCCGTGTGCCCACTCTGAGGGCCATGCCAGGTCCAAGGGAGGCACGCCACCTGGACATCCAGGGACTTTAAAATGTTTTGTTTGATCTATGATGTTGGCTAAGAGAAGAAATCCTGATCAAAAGGGGAAATGAGTAGTAGAGTGAAGAAATAAACTACAGGCAACAGCAGGCAGGGGAAACCATGCGGTGTGCCACAGGGGCGGGTGACCCACTGGGGTGACCTAGATAGGGCCTTGGGTCCCCCTCCGCCTCCCCCCGCTGGGGCTGAAAGTCAGTCATGGGGTGAGAGGACTGCTGTTACTCACCCCAGGCACCCACACTGGCCCACTCCGGGAAGGGGCCTGAAGTGCGATAGAGAGGTGAGAACTTTCCATCCCTGGAAGGTGGCATCATCTTTTCCTCCTCTCCTCCTCCTCAGGTTCTCCATGGCGTCCCAGACACCATCCCAAGCCATCTCTCTCTCTCTCACCCGCCCAGCTCTCTCGGCCTCCTCCCTGCAGCCCAGGAGCTGTTCCGGCTCCTGAGAGGCGAGCGGGCTGGGGCAGTCCTGCCGGGCCTCTCCGGCTGCTCCTCAGCACCCGCTGCTCCCCGGCACCGGCTGCTCCCCGGCACCGGCTGCTCCCCGGCACCGGCACCGGCAGGGCTGCTCCTGCGGCTGGGCCTTTCTGAGCGGCGCTCGCCTTTTCCGGCAATGCCCCCCTCACTGCTGGGGGGGGGGGGGGGCGCTGCGGCTCTGAGAATCAGGTACTTGGAGATGCTTTGGGGTTTGAGGAGCTCCCCTTCCCTCTACCCTCCAACCTGCCAGTGCTGGCGCCAGGCCGTTCAGGCGGAGAGGGGGACCGGCCGCGTGGAGTCCTGCCTGGCGGCGAGCGCCCAGGGAAGCGCAGAGGCTGCCTACCCGCCGCCCCGACCAGACACGTGGCTCAGCCTCGCGGGCGCCTTCTTTATTGTGGGCTCACAGCAGCGGCCCCGCGCCTCGCCCGGGGCCCCCCACCCCCGGCCGCGAAGCCCGTCCCCGCGGGCGGCGTCAGCCCACCATCACGGCCCCGAAGAAGGTCTTCCCGCGGCGCGAGTCCACCAGGGCGGGGTGGCTGATGTTGACGAACACGCGCTCGCCGCGCCGCAGCCGCGCCAGGCCGCCGAAGCCCACGCTCGCGTACCACAGCCTCCCGGGCGCGTCCAGCGCGGGGCGCACGGTCTCCGCGCCCTCCAGCAGCAGCTCGGGGGCCCCGCGGCCGTAGGCGCCGCCCGCCCGGTACAGCCGGCTCTGCAGCGTGAGCCCGCGGGCCAGCGGGTCGCGGTCGGCGGCGGGCGCCCGGCCGCGGTAGCCCACGTGGCAGTAGAGGTAGTAGAGGCCGTCCCGCGGCAGCGCCAGCCCCGCGGCGCCGAAGTGCGCGCCGCTCCGCAGGAACGCCTCCTCCTTGGCCGCCTCCCAGCCCAGCCCGCCGCCCGGCGTCCAGGCGCCTGCGGAGAGAGGGCGGCTCTCGGGTCCCGTCCCCCGTCCCAGGGAGCGCCGTCGGGGGCGCGGGCGCGGGGCCGGCGGAAGGGGGCTCCTAGGGGCGAGGGCGCTGAGGCCGTGGGAACTGGCGCACCGCCCCGCGGAGCACAGGGTTCTCCCCGCCCGCGGGCAGCTGACCGGGCTGGGCAGGTCTCCGAGGTCCTTACCTATGAGGTGGGCAGCCGGGAGCCCGGGGCTGGGATCGCTTTCTGTGTCCTGCTCCGGCAGCTCCTGGGGCCCTGGAAGGGGCGAGAGCCCAGGATTGGGGCAGGGCGGCCACCACGCCTGGTCCCCCTGACAGGGCAGGGCGCCAGGGCCCAGGGATTCCCGGAGGAAGAGCAGAGTATCTGGGGATGCAGATGGATGGGGCGGGAGGGGGACAGTCTGCTCTTACCCAGTCGCTGCTGGGCCTGTGCTTGCGCCCCAGGGTCAGTGGTCTCTGCAACCTGGACGGGGAGGAGGGTCACAGTGCCCAGAGTTCAGCCGTAGCTGATGCCAACCCCACCCCTGCCAATGGAGACCCAACCTCCCAGCCCAACACCCATCTCCCTGGAAGGGAGAGCAAGCCAGGCAGATACACTGGGCAGAGCGACAGGAGCCCGAGTATGTCTTGGGAAGAGGAAGAAGACAGACAGACAACCAGGAAGGGGCTTGGAGACATCAGGAGGCAACAGCATCACAGGAACATGGGAAAGAACCAAGAGGCGACCAGACAGGCCAGCTGAGCAGGTGACACAGGGCCCCCCGGCGCAGCAGAGGTGAGCGAGCATGAGCAACACCAAGCCCCCTGGGCACCGACTGGAGCCACTCACCAGCCCTTGCTTCTGGGGCGCCACCACCAGCACAGCCAGGACAGTGAGCGGCACAGCCAGCAGCAGGGTCACCAGGGAGGTGGTTCCTGCCACAGCCAGCAGGAGGCAGCCCTTCCCCTGGGGCCTCCTCCTCCAGCCCTCCAGCCCCAGTGCCCCCATGGAGACTGAGGCAGGGCCAGTGCAGGGGGGCTTTCATATCTCAGGGGTGGGGCCCCCCCCTCCCCTAGACCTACACACCTGGCTGGGACTTTCCACACACCCCTGCTCCCCTCACCCAGCTTCCTGTTTACCCAGAGCTGGGGTGGGGCAGCTGGATGCCTGGGTTCCTTGAACTGGGGAAGGAGTGGAGGCGAGGAGGCAGGCTTTCAGGGTAGATCTGGAGGGTGTCTTTCTTAGTGATCTCCTGGCTCAGTGGCGGGGCGGGGGGGGGGGGGGGGGGGGGAAGGGGGCGCCGATCAGGGCAGGTGGCTTGCAGAAAGCCTGGCAGCAAAGCTGCAATGAGAACACAAAACTCCCGATACCCAGCACAGCGTGCAGCCTCTGCCCCCCAGAGGTGGGTGCTGCACAGAGGGCTGCACCCCAGCCCTGAGGTCCAGAACAGGGGTCTTGAGTGATAGATGTCCCTGAGAAGAACTATCCCTGCACTGGACTGACCTCCATTCCCATGCTCCCCCCCTCCCCTGCAGCCCTCAGAACTGGCTGCACAGCAATGGCAGCTGAGGGGGCTGCTTCACCGCCGACTCCTGCCTCGCTGAGGAGGGATGGGGACCACCCCTCCCTGGCTCAAGAGTGCACAGAAGAGCCATACGGCACACCCCCAAAGAGCTTAGCACCCAGAAGGAGTCCTAGCCATTGAGTAGGTGCTGACTGAATGTTAAGAAGAAATGACCAACGAATGAGTAAGCAAAACCAAGCAGCACTGATCCAATGACGGCCATGGTAGACAGTGCGGTAGGGGTTGAGGGGAAGGCCGGGCCCGAGGAAGTTAGAGGTGGTTGCACATCATCTCCCCTTCTCAAGGGCATGTGTGTGTGTTTGGATAATAACAATAATATAGCTAATAGGGCCCTAGCTGGTTTGGCTCAGTGGATAGAGCATCAGCCTACGGATGGAAGGGTCCCAGGTTCAATTCCGGTCAAGGGCACATGTGTAGACTCTAGGTGGTAGGGATATGTGCACTGTTCAATTCTTTCTATTTTTCCTTTCTTTTTTTTTTTTTTAAATATATTTTATTGATTTTTTACAGAGAGGAAGGGAGAGAGATAGAGAATTAGAAATATCGATGAGAGAGAAACATCGATCAGCCGCCTCCTGCACATCCCCCACTGGGGAAGTGCCCGCAACCCAGGTACATGCCCTTGACCAGAATCGAACCCGGGACCTTTCAGTCCGCAGGCCGATGCTCTATCCACTGAGCCAAACCGGTTTCGGCTATTTTTCTTTATTTAAACTTTTTAATAATAAATCTTTTTTTAATATATATTTTATTGATTTTTTACAGAGAGGAAAGGAGAGAAATAGAGAGTTAGAAACATCGATGAGAGAGAAACATCGATCAGCCTCCTCCTGCACACCTCCCACTGGGGATGTGCCTGCAACCAATGTACGTGCCCTTGACCGGAATTGACCCTGGGACCCTTCAGTCCGCAGGCCAATGCTCTATCACTGAGCCACACCGGTTACGGCAAATCTTTTTTTTTTTTTAATGAAACTGAATATTGTCCTCCTGTCCTGCAGTAGGAAGCACTGTGGAGGGGGAGAGGGAGGAAGTAGCAGAAAGTTTCTGAATTTGGAGAAGAAAATGCAAATGCACGTGGACTCAGGCACCACATCTCCTGAGCCCTGGCCTACACATGAGCTCCCCAGTCTCCGCCTCCTCAGGAACCGGCTGCAGTCCTCAGGCACGGCCTCCCCTCCACCCAGGGCGCCAAGAGGCCTTCCTCCAGCCTCTGCCCAGAGGACCTCAGACCACTGCCCTTGCTTATCTTTGTGCCTAACCTGAGAATGCTGCCTCCGGCAGGAAGTCCACCTGGACGGCCATCCCTCCTTTCCGAACACTAACCAGTCCCCAACCCTAGATCTAAGAGCAGTGCCCATTAGACTTAGTCCGGCTGCCTTTGACTTTGTGGTTTGTAAATCAGTCAGCCATGCACCCTGTGAGAGAGAGAGAGAGAGAGAGAGAGAGAGAGAGAGAGAGAGAGAGCCCCAGACACCAGGTGGTGCAGGAGCCAGGTGTGTGTCCACCACACACCGAGTCATGAGCTTCAGCGGGGCAGTGTGGGAAGTCATGGGAAAGTCAGTCAGGGAAGCCCCCCGAGGAGGCAAAGTCACTGGCTCCCTCAGGGTCAATAGGGCGCTGGAACCCAGAGGGTGCTCCATCCCAGGGGTCTGAAAGGAAGGATGTACTAACCCTCACCCTCAAAGCCCAACTTCCTCTCTAGCGGTGCTGGGAGACCCCAAGGCTGAGGGAGAAGCTGAAGCCAGAGGGGGGTGGAATGCCTGTGGTGAGCACTTGCTTCCCCAGGCAGCTCTGCTGTGCTGTCCTCTGGAGTCGCTCTCCGTCCCCCACCCCCCACCCCGCCTGCAGGCCACAGCTCCAGGCTCCGGGTGAGCTGGGAGAGAGCAGGGATCCTTGGCAGGGAGAGCGACAGACACCCAGACTGAGATGAGGCTACGAGGGGCCGGAGAGCATGGCTTTGAGGCTCCCTGGGCCCCAGAGGAGACCTGCCCGGCCTCCGTCTCGGATCCCTCCAAAGTGAAAAGCAGCCCACTCCTGCCCTCCTCCCCTGTGGCCGCCTGGGGCCTCCTGCCACCTGGGCTGCTGCCCCCCCATCGCACCCCACACAGTTCCTCTTGGGCCCAGGAGGCTCTGTTTCCACACCATGGTCAGCGCATCTGGCTCTGGGGTAAAGTCTGAGGCCTCCTTTCTGCCCTCAAACAGGAACAAGCGGTTGCTGGGCAGGAAGCCTGAAGGGAAGTTAGGGGCCCCAGAGGCTCCTGCCCTTGCCCAGCAGGATCTGCCCGCCCTGCCGAGCTGCCAGGGGGCTGGACACTGCCCACCCGCCTTTCCCCGTCCCCACACGCACCCGCACCCTGCTCCTCCCCCGCCTCCGCTCTTCCTGAACAGAACCGGAACTGGCCGGGGCTGGAGAGGCCCAGCGGGCGGAGGGAAGGGGGCGGTCCCCAGGGGAGATGGCACCACAGCCCCTATGCCCCACTGATGAGCAGGGTGACGGGAAGTGCCAGGGCAGGCAGGGCAGGAGCGAGGCTGCTGGGCCTGGGGAGATTGAGACAGAGGCCGGCTTTACCGATGAGGAACTCGAGGCACGTGACTCGCCCCAGGCCACTTTGGCAGCTGGGCAGGGGCCAGGCTTGCTCTCTGGGACGAGTCTCCCATGCCCAACCAAATGGGATCTCCTAATGCTACCTCATCAGGTGAGGTAGCCTCGCCCCGGCCCAGGCACAGCGGGTGCAGAGTGGGGTGTGCAGGCCAGGACCGGCGGGGAGCGGGCCAGGGACTGGGGGGTGGGGGGCGCAGTGGGGTGGCAGTGGGAGCCTCCGAGGGGTGAGAGGTCTCAGGGGTCAGTGATTAAACGATGGTGGGCGGGGCCTCTGCTGGAGGCCAGGTGACAGGGCGGTGAGGGGTTCCTGAGGGATGCTGCTCTGCCTCTGAAATTGCTGGAGAGGCACCGGGAGGACAGGGTAAGTGGAGAGGGCAAGGGGACCTCTGACACTCACCGCTTTTCCCCACAGACAGCATATGGATTTACCTCTATGCGAGCTGGGGGCTGGGGGGCCTCCTGGCTGTGGTTATGGCTGTTCTGTCCGCCTGTCTGTGTCGGCTCCATCGGAGAGGTGAGCCTGCCCTGACCCCCTCATGCCCCGCAAATGCCCCGCGTGGCCCCACCCGCACCCTTCCTACTGATTTCCCAGGGCGCCCTCAGCCCTGACACACCCTGGGAGGAAGGTGAGAAGCTGGGGGAAGGGAGGGGGGAGACTGTCCAAGTGGAGAGGCCAGGCTTTGGCTGTGGGAACCACAGGAAAGTCATCTGCGAGGAGCCACCGCTGGGGGGGCGGGGGGGGGCACTCAGGGGGCGGGGGCACCAGAGTGGGTCACACTGAGCTGCTTCCTTTCTTCCAGTGAGGAAGCTGGAGAGGAGCTGGGTGAGTCTGGGGCCAGGGGCGGGGCGGGGGGGGGGGCGCTCAGACAGAGATGGGGGAGGCGAGAGAAGAGAGAGCAAGCAGGGGTGTGAGTCGGTGAGAGAATAAGAGGCAAAAGGAGAGAAATAAGTAAATGAGTAGAAAAGAGGAAAGAAATGGTACAGATATAGGAAGAGGAAATAAGACAGAAAAGAGAAAGAGAGAGAGGCCCAAATGAGAGAGACAAAGAGTGAAAGAGAAAGTCAGAGAGAAGGAAGGAGACACTGGGAAAAGGAAACAGACACCACAACAGAGTAAGAGGGGGAGAGAGTGAGACACACGTGAGGAAGGGCAATGAGGGGAAGGACCCCAGCTGAGGAGGGAGGAGGAGGGAGAGCAGGAAGGGAAAGGAGGGTTGGGGAGGGGAGGGAGGGAGAGGGGGAGAAAGGAGAGGAGCAGGGGAGGGAGAGGGAGGGAGAGGAGGAGGGAGGGAGAGGGAGGTGGAGGGAGGGAGAGGGGACTGAGGAAGTAATGAAGAAAGTGGGGTGGGGCGGAGCTCACAGGGAAGGATGGGAGAGGCCCTGTGACCCCTGCCAGCCTGTGTGCCACCCGGCCCAGGCCCAGGCCCAGCTCCCTGAGCAGGAGCAGGAGCTCCACTACGCATCTCTGCAGCGGCTGCCCTGCAGGGAGCCGCCTGGCCATGGCCACCAGGAAAGGGAAGACTCCTTGCAGGACCCCGGCACCGACTACACCTGCGTTGCTGACAAGAAGCCCACCTGAGCACCCGCCCCCAGCCCGAGTGCATCCTGTGGCTCACCCAGTAAACACCTTGGTCTCAAACTTCCTGTGTCTCAGAGTTCTCAATCCATCTCAAGCCCCTCAACACTGCCACCATCAAACTTAAGTCACTTCCCTTCCCACCCACTCTGGGGTCAAGTAGTGATTTCTTGGCTAAAGAAGGGTGTCTAGGGACCCAAGCTCATCTGAAGGCTCGAAAAGAATACAGTAGTCCCCCCTTACACTGGTCCAGTTACCCCTAGTCAGAAAATAGTAAACGGAAAATTCCAGAAATAAACAATTCCTAAGTTTTAAATTGCGCACCATTCTGAGCAGCGTGATGAAATCTCTATCCCGCTCCATCCTGCCCGGGGCGTGGCTTATCTGTTTGTCCAGCGAACCCACCCGGGATATGCTACCTGGCCTAGGCACTTAGTAGCCAGCCAGGTTGCAAGGTCGGCAGTCGAGGTATCACTGCGCTTGTGTTCACGTCCCCCTATCTCAGGCCAGTGCCCATGTTATTCACCTTACTGCATCCATCACACAGGCAGGCATTGTATCCTCTCATGTCACAGGAAGCAGGGTGAGTATAGGAAAATAAGATATCTTGAGAGAGAGAGAAACCACTGTCACATCATTTATATTATAGTACTAGAGACTTGGTGCATGAAATTCGTGCACAGGTGTGATCCCTAGGCCTGGCTGGCAATCGAAACATGAGTGTCTGGTGTGGAAGGGCAGGTCCCAGCTGACCTCTGGGCCCTGGGCAGCACCTGAGCCCCCAGGGCCCTGAGCACCCCCCTCTGCCTGAGTCATCGGACCCCCGCCCAACTCTCTCAGCACTTGGGAGCCAGGCAGTGGCGTCACCACCACCGCTGCTGGTCACCATCTACAGGGCTATGGGGCCCCACTCACACCCACCTTGGCCTGGCACCACCTGCTCACCTGCTCCACCATCCTGCTGCATCCCGCTGTTGTCTGGGCTCATTGGGGCCAGCAGCACCTCCACTGCTGCCCGCTGCCCGCTATGTTCCACACCGTTCCCTGGTGGTCAGCACAGGTCATAGCAAGCAGTAGAAACTCCTGGTCACACTCCCGGTCAAGGGGACAATTTGCATATTAGGCTTTTATTATATAGGATATTGTTATAATCGTCCTATTTTATCATCATTGTTAATCTCTTACCATGCCTAATTTATAAATTAAACTTCATCATAGGCATGTATGTACAGGAAAAAACCACAGTATATAGAGGGCTCAGTTCCGTCCATGGTCTCAGGCATCCATGAGGAGTCTTGGAAGATACCCCCCTCATAGGGGGAGACTCTTGTCTTTGTCTGTGGGCAGTTGACAATTGGACCAATCAGATTTGATATCCCTCATTTCTCCACCTCCTGGGCTGGGAGAGCTGGGTCACTTCCTGTTGAGCCCCAGGCTGGGGGAAGGGGGGTCCTCCAGGCACAATTGCTGGGAAGCTCCCTCCTTGGACATTCCTAGGCCAGGCTTAGCAGAAAGGAGAACCCGGAGAGGGGCACACTGGGGTATTGGGGGACGGGGAAGAAATCACAGAGGCTCACTGGAAGTTAGTGGTGGGGCCGATTTATTGGGGTCTCCTGAAGAGTGCTGGGGTCACTGGGGTCTGGAATCACTCATCAGAGGCATCCAAGAGGCGGCAGTGTCCCCAGGTGGCAGTGGCCTGGCAGGGAGGTGGCCGAGTCCCTGGTGCTGTGAGGCTCCTCGCGCCTTGGCCTCTGTCTCCCCCCTCCAGCGCGCTCGCTGCTCCACCTTCTCTTAGGCCATTGTCATGGCTCCATGACGCACACTTGCCTTGGTAATAGATGGTGCTGCCCATGGCCACGGAGAGAAAGCTGAAGGCATAGAATCCAGCCCGAAGGAGGAGGGCCGCGAGGGGCCCTGGCCCAGGAGGTCCTGCATGTGGGTGGTGGAGAAGGGCTTGGTCAGGGGACTGGGGAAGAGGTGTGTGCCGCGGGAGGGACAGCAGCGGGCGCCTTGGGGAAGGACTCTCAACTTCAGGGAAAGTGGAGCCTCCAGCCAAGGGGGGGACTCACCTTTCTCCACCACCAGCAGAGTCCCGTTCCCTGTCCCAACACCCAGGCCCAGCACCTCCACCCGGCACACATAGACGCCGGCATCTGGGCCTCGGGTATCCCAGATGTGCAGCTCCGCCTGGTGGTCACAGAGGAAGCGGGAAGAGGCAAGAGGGGCCAGGCGGCCCCTGAACTCTGGGGTCCCATTCTTCACTTCCTTCCCCGGGGCCACCATGTCCCGATACCATGTGACAGAGCCAATGGCCAGTGTCCCTTGGCTGGCATTGAAGGAGCAGGGCACGAGGGCAGCGGCACCCTCCTGGGCATGAACCTCAGGGGGCTGGGACACCCAGAGAGCACAGGATCCTAGGGGCAGAGAGAAGACCCAGGTAAACGCCTCCCCCAGTAACCCACCCGAGGAGAAAAGAGAGCTCACCGAGGACTGTCCCAGCTTGCGGGTGCCTCGTTAACCCCTTTCCTCCTTACCAATCTAATAGTTAATATTGCTTATTAAGCCCTTTTCTAATTCTTTCCTATACCAACCCTCACCCTGCCTCTCATTGTGTTCCAGCTGCACTCATCAGCAGCATCTTGCTGAAGCTTACCCTGCAACAGTGACATGGGAGCTCACTGGCAAACGGGCTGCCAGTTAACTGGTGTCATTGATCACATCTCTCCAGGCACTATGCCCGCTGGTAGGTCCACCGCCACCACCTTGCTGCTTTGTGTTTTGCTAAAGAGCATCAAGCACTTAAATCTCCAGGTGAAGACCTGGCTGTCATTGATTGAGATCCCACTTAACTGATCGAAATGGATGAATTAAACCCATTCTTGAAATCCCTGATTAAATTCTCGAGTTAGTGAAATTTACCAGGCATTCTTCTATTTCAGTGGTTCTCAAACTTGGGAACTCATGGATAACACCTAACGTCTTTGTTGAACTGGTCCCTGGGCCCCACCCCGGAGACTTTTATTCGGTGGGTCTGGAGGGGGTTTGGCTGGTCTGAAGCTACAGGTCTGAGTCCAGGAATACGTCTGACAGGGAAGGTCTCTCAGTGAATTAAAATCAGTTCCACTAGGAAACTTAGATTTAATTAGGTCTCCCAAACTCCTAATTATATCTACACCAAGATATAAACTCATCAAATTAAAACTGACCCCTTTAAAGAAATTGACCACTTCAAGCCAATTTTGCTGGTTCTTTCAACTTTATCTTATTAGGAAGGTGGCTGGGAAGAAAGGCGCTCTGGGTGGAGGCTGGGCGTGACCGTGACCCTGACCGTGACGGGTTGCCAGCAGGCAACATGGAGGGGACCGAGCGGGGAGTTCCAGGTGTCATCTCCCGTCAGGGCTCCCATCAGCCCCCACCAAGCCTGCTCTCCAGACATCTCTATGGAGCCTCCCCCGGCCCCTCCTCCTGGCCCACACCCCTCAGGGTCCCGGGAGGAAGCCGTCACCTGGATGGAGTACGATGAAGACGAGCAGCAGCGTCCGGGCCACGTGGGAGGGCATTCCAGCTGACGAGGGGACCTGAGCGGCCAGGCTGGCCCAGGAGGAACGACCCTCGCTGAGCAGGCCTTGGTCCCCAAATGCCGGTGGACTTTCTAGGACACACAGGACTCACACGTCACCTGCCAGGGACCTCCGCCTCCTGGCACCTTGGGCATGGGAGGCATGGCTGAGGAGAGAGGCTTCTGCGGACGGTGAGGTCTGTGTCACAGGAGGTGGCTTAAGTGTTAGAGGCGGAGTGGAGGCCTAGGTGTCTGCAAAGCCAGGGTAGGTGGGTGAGACCAGGATGTGGTTCCCCCAGCTTCCGATGTTCAAGAAGACCAGCTCTTAACCCGGAAGACCGCTGGGAGCCCTCCTGGGCCCAGAGTAAACCTGCTTTCCCACCTGTTGGCTCCTCAGTGCCCAGGCCCGCCCATCCATTTCTTTCCCTGGAATCCGGCCCTCCCAGGGGCAGCTCTAGAGATTCTATAATTGAGGGGATTAGAAGAAGTGAGCTGATTGGTGGCGGTGACAAGGTTTGCTCAGGGCTTGCTTCCTGTTTGACTTAGACCTGCGAGGTTTGACGGGGTGAGTGCAGCTGATGGAGAAGTTTGAACCCTTCATATTCAAGTCTCCATGGAAGGAGTCCAGCTCGCTGGGGTCGGCTTCACCCACGACGTTCTGTGTGGACTGCCACCACCGGTACATTCACTCCTTTACTGCTGCATTCGTTATTTAACCAGCGTCCACTGAGAACGCAGAGGCCATTACAGGGAATGTGTTCGTACAGACACAAAGGAAAGACGCATTGTGTGCATGTAGCTCATGGCTGTAGAGGGGTTAATACAAGAATATGGCACACACGCGCATGGCAGAGCCGCGTGAGGAGCACAGCACGGGGACAAGGGGGTGACCTGGATGTGCCTGGTGAAACAGGGCCAGCCTCGCCACACACTTCTCTCTGGCTCCTTTGATGTTATGTATTTATTTTATTTATTTTATTTTTAAAATCCTTACCTGAGGATATGTTTATTGACTTGAGAGAGAGGAAGAGGGGCAGGGGGAGACAGAGAGAGAGAAATCCCAGTGCACAGGACAATGCTCCAACCAACTGAGCACCCCGCCAGGGCTCTCTGTACCCTTTTAGATGAATGCGTTGTTTTTCTTGGTGCCTGTGTTTCTAGCTCTGTTCACAATACGTGTAGATAGCTAGCGCCCTCCACCCGCCACCCCCACCCCCAGGTGATCTGAAGCTTTTCGTTGTTTTGGAGAAGCAGTAATCTCATGGTTAAGCCCGCAGCATGGAGTCTGACTGGGTGCAAATCCCAGCTCCCCGCAAACTATAAGCTCGAACAAATGTGACTTCTCAGAACCACCTCGACAAGCAGGCGCGCCACAGCCCGGGAGGAAGGCCTCCGCCCTTCCCCATGCGCGACGCTGTGTCGGGGCCACCCAGCCCGCGGTGGGACGGAGCTGCCAGGCTGTGCGAGGTCTGCCCCCTGGTGGTCCTGGAGCCTGAGGCAGCCGGAGGCACCAAGAGGTGGCTTTTCCCACCTGGCCTCCGCCGTCCCTGACCTTGCCTGGTCCTATCGACACCTATCACCGCCCAAAGAGTCAGCGTAGAGGAAAGGGTGTCTCCTCCTCAGCTGTGAGAGGCCCCCGGTTTGGAGAGGGGGGAGGTCACCCCTCTGTGGCCGGGGGTGGGGTGGATGGGCCACCTGCTGAGTGCACTACTGCACTGCCCAGGGCCACGCCGCCTGGAAGGCAGCCTCCTTGGAGTCCTGGTTCCACTACTGACGCATCTGCAAAGTGGGAGTCGCATCTGTTACTGCCAGACCCTGCTGTGCTGGGCACAGTGTCGCCCCAGCTCCTCCCAGTCCCGGGCTAGGCTGACCGATGTTACAGCTGGGCCTGAACTGAAGGGTGTCTTGCTCTCTTCCTCTTTCCTCTACCTATGATTTTCAATATCCAAAACCGTTGTAGATTCCAAAGACAACACTTAGCTGTAACCCGTCTAGCATAAACCTGGGACGTGTGTGGCCTTTTTCAGTAACCCTGAGACGCCTGGGAACTTCACCCTGCCGGGCGGGAACTGCCCTGCAAATGAGCTCAGTGGACACAAGGATGGAATCTTCCAAAAGAACAGTTCACCAGGGACTCCAGACTCAATGAACAGAAAAAGCTGTAAAGTTGCCTGGCCGGTGTGGTTAGTGGCTGAGCATCGACTTAAGAACAAGGTTCGATCCTGCGGTCCCCGTTCAATTCCCTGTAGGGCGCATGCCTGGGTTGTGGGCTTCATCCGGGGGGGGGGGGGGGGGAGGCATGCAGGAGGCAGCCAATCAATGATTCCCTCATCATTGATGTTTGCCTCTCTCTCTCTCTCTCTCTCTCTCTCTCTCTCTCTCCCTTCCTCTCTGAAATCAAGAAAAATATTTTTTAAAAGAAAAGCTGTAAAGTGATGCACACACCTCTTGTCTAACTTCTGTAACACCCAGCTGTGTGCTGACTAGAGTGCAATCAGGACCAGTAAACGCCCAACACAGAGCTCAGAGCAGGTGACGAGGTGCCAACCCCGAAGGGACCCTGGGACCCTGCACAGGTGATCCCACTCAGCGGGTGTCTCTTCTGAGTGCTGGCAGAGGTGAGAGGTGGGCGACTTCTCTGACCAAGTCCTTACAAACGTTTTCAAACTAATTAATGGTTCCAGTTTATACTTTCAACCTCTGACCACGACGTCTCCTTTGAGGTTCATAGCATTGGACCCTGTCACCTTCATTCTTTCTGTGTCATTGTCCAACTTCCCTCACATTCACCAAGAGCTGGCATCTGCCTCTCCAGTTTCCTTCCTGTTTCCACCTCTGTCATCAAGACCTAATGGCCAGGTAGATGACATTTATATATATATACTAGAGGCCCGATGCACAAAATTCGTGCAAGGGAATCAGCCCTCGCAGCCTCGATGGCTTGCCTCGGCCCTCGCAGCCCTGGCTTCGTCTGGAAGGTCGTCCAGAAGGATGTACGGAAGGTCATTCGGCTGTCTGGTCTAATTAGCATATTATGCTTTTATTTTATATATATGTGTGTATGTGTATGTATATATATTAGAGTAGTATTAGATTATACGAGTTTGTTTATCTGTTCACTTCATTATGTACAATTGGATTGTTTCTTATTTTTGGCTATTATAAACCAATCTCCTATGAACATTCTTGTACACATCTTGCATATGACTTTTCAATACACGACTTCTTTTTAAAAAAATATTTTTATTGATTTCAGAGAGGAAGGGAAAGGGAGAGATAGAATCATCAATGATGAGAGAGAATCATTGATCGGCTGCCTCCTCCACGCCCTTTACTGGGGATTGATCCCACAACCCAGCATGTGCCCTCACCAGGAATCTAACCATGACCTCCTGGTTCATGGGTGGATGCTCAACCACTGAGCCACATGGGCCGGGCTCAATGCTGGATTTCCCAGTTGCTTCACCTTGTCCACTCCAGCCATAACCTTGACTCTACATGCCCTACACCTTGGATCTTGTCACCGCGGAAGCTGTTCCACATCAGAGTTTTACCTCCTCTTCCACAGAAACATAAGGCTTTACTGTCATAGCCACCGTTTTTTTGTTTTGTTTTTGTAAAATGTATTTTTATTGTTGAAAGTAATACAGATGTCTCCCTTTTCCCCCATTGACATCTCCCTGGCCACTCCCACCCCTCAGCACATGCCTTGCAGTCTATGTCATTGGTGATGCTTATATGCATGCATACAAGTCCTTTGGTTGATCTCTAACACCCCTCCCCCCTCCCCCACAACCCTCCCAGGCCTTCCCGCTGCAGTTTGACAGTCTGTTCGATGCTGCTCTGCCTCTATATCTATTTTTGTTCATCAGTTTATAATGTTCTTTATTATCCATGAATGAGTGAGATCATGTGGTATTTTTCCTTCATTGACTGACTTATTTCACTCAGCATAATGCTCTCCAGTTCCATCCATGCCGTTGCAAATGGTAAGAATTCCTTCTTTTCTACAGCAGCATAGTATTCCATCGTGTAGATGTGCCACAGTTTTCTAATCCACTCATCCGCTGATGGGCACTTAGGCTGTTTCCAAATCTTAGCTATTGTAAATTGTGCTGCTATGAACATAGGGGTGCATATATCCTTTCTGATTGGTGTTTCTGATTTCTTGGGATATATTCCTAGAAGTGGGATCACTGGGTCAAATGGCTGTTTCATTATTAACTTTTTGAGGAAACTCCATACTGTCTTCCATAGTGGCTGCACCAGTCTGCATTCCCACCAGCAGTGTACGAGGGTTCCTTTTCCTCCACATCCTCGCAAGCACTTGTTGTTTGTTGATCTGTTGATGATAGCCATTCTGACAGGTGTGAGATGGTACCTCACTGTTGTTTTGATTTGCATCTCTCTAATGATTAGTGACTTTGAGCTTTTTTCATATGTCTCCTGGCCTTCTGTATGTCCACTTTCAAAAAATGTCTATTTAGGTCCTTTGTCCATTTTTTGATTGCATTGTTTATCTTCCTTTGTTAAGTTGTATGAGTTCCCTATAAATTTTGGAGATTAAACCCTTATCGGATGTAAAATTGGCAAATATGTTCTCCCACACAGTGGGCTTTCTTGTTTTGTTGATGGGTTCTTTTGCTGTGCAGAAGCCTTTTATTTTGATGTAGTCCCATTTGTTTATTTTCTCCTTAGTTTCCATTGCCCTAGGATAGGGGTGGGCAACCCCAGGCATGCGTGCCAAATATGGCACGCCAGTAACTTTTGCTGGCATGCAAAACCCTCTCTTATAATCTTCCATTTACAATTTTTTTCTTTTTTTTTTCTTTTTTATTTCTTTTTTTTTTTATTTTTTTTAATTGCTTAAAGTATTACAAAGGGTATTACATATGTGTCTTTTTTTTTCCCCCGCCCTTGACTATCCCCTGGCCTCCCCCACCCCCCATACAATTTTTTTCTTAATATCAACTTTTTTATTTTTCAGATAAATTCAGTGTAGGTGCATCTTAGATAAATAAATAATTTTACATAACAAGTTATCTTAAAGACCACAGACATGGATTGACGAGAGAAGGGAAGAGCAATTTCAATAGTGTCGAAAATGAACTATTGAGGACTTGGAATGCCATTCCAGAAAATTTTTTCTGTCTAAAAAACTTTGCAACAGTGTTTGTCTCCATGTTTTCATCCACATACACTGTGGATCTTTGTTCTCAGTGGTGAATTTTGTTAAGTCTCGTAATAGGATTAGCCTGACGGATGAAAGTAGTAGCTCGTGCATATCTCTGAAGGTCACAAAATATGAACCTGATGTAAAATCTCTGTCATCAGTGATGCAGCAGCAAAAGTCCCACTGATAATATCAAATGGAGTCATAAAGTTTTCTGTCGGACTGTCAGTGTACATGTGTACATTAAAAAATAAATGTATGTTTCATCATCATATACTGTGTTTTTGTCGCTCAAATGGATTTTATTTCTTCAAGGTTCTTCACA